TTTGAGATTGCTGTGAGTTGTGATGCCATAGCACACTACCAAGGGTGAGATAGTGAGACTCTGTCTCAAAAAAACAAATAAAAAAATCCCCAAAGTACTTAAAAATAATTGAGGAGCATATATTCAACAAATGTTCAGAAACACCAACACCATAAGAACTGTAGGAGGCTATGGTGTTTGAGTGGGGGTTGCCCCATTCCCATTTAGGGAGCTGTCTATGTCTTTAGTTCTTGGAGTACTCTTTCTTGAAAAATGACCAGACACTCCAAAGTAAGACAAGCATAAAACAAAGTTTACTGAGGAAGAGAAAAATAGGCTTACAGAGTGAGAAGCTTTACAGAGTAAGATACTTTCGCCCTAGGCAGCAAACAGAATCCATTGTCACAAGAAGTAGGCAAAGAGGCCTGAGCTATGGCTGGCCATATTTTTTACTGTCTGGATCAGGCCTACCTCATGGTTCAGAGGTCATATTGGAACCAGAGGCTTATGTGGACCTCCCATGAGCCTCTCTGACAGCCCATTGTGGGGTATGACCTTAATGTAGATTTATGCTAATGACATGATAATTAGCCTTAAGCCTGTTCTAGGGTGCTTTGAAGACTCTGTTGTACCTGTTGCTAGGCTAGAGAGTCTACCCCATCCTTTTGTAGTTAGCGCACTAAGTTCTGATTGGTAGATTGGAAGGGTGTGCCCTCCTCCCAGGTGTGAACAATCACTGAGATAAGATTAAGGTGAGATGGGGTTGTGGGGCCATCTTCAAAACGATGAGAAAAAAGTTGAAACCTGTGAATCAAGAATCTTATGTCTAGCAAAGCTATTTTAATTTTAAAATTGAAGGTGAAATAAAGACATTCTTAGATAAACTAAAAACTGAGAATTTTTTGCTTTGAAAAAGAGCAAAGTTGTAAGGCATACTTCTCTATTTCAAAACTTACTACAAAGCACCACTAATCAAGATAGTGAAGTACTGGCATAAAGATATACATATAGAGAGATCAATGGAATAAAGATGAAAGTCCAGAAATAAACCCATTTGTTTATGGTCAAATGACTTGACAAGGGAGCTAGGACCATCCAAAGGGGAAAGAATAGTCATTTCAACAAAAGTTTCTGAAAGAATTGGATAGCCACATGCAAAGGAATGAAATTGGACCCTTACCTCACACCATATACAAAAATTAACTCAAAGTGAATCAAAGACATAGATGTAAGAGGTAAAACTCTTAGAGGAAAACAGGAGTAAACCTTTATGACTTGGGCTAGGCAATAGTTTCTTAGATATGACATCAACAGAACAAGCAACAAAAGAAAAATGATATGTTAAGCTATATTAAAATGTAAAGCTTTTAATAATAATACTAGCAGGAAAATAATACCATCCAGGAAATAAAAAGAAAGGGGAGAAGGTACTTATCAATATTTCCTATGACATTTTAATCTATAATATCTAAAGAGCTCTATGTCTCAAAGACAAGATAAATAAAAATAAATAAGTAAAAAGATCTGAATAAACATATACAATAAGCACATGAGAAGATATTCAACATTAATAACCATCAGGGAAATGCATATTGAAACCATGATGAGACACCACTTCACATCCACAAGTGTGGCTATAATCAAAAAGACGGATAATATTTAGGAGTTGATGAGGAATCGAAGAATTTCAACCCCTCATACACTAGTGCTGGGAATATAAAATAGTGCAGCTGCTTTGGAAAACAGCCTGTCAATTCTGGTTTGCATAGATTATTATATAATCCAACAATTTTAGTCCTACGTATATATACTCAAGATATGTGGAAACACATGTCCACATAAAATCTTATACACAAATGTTCATTAGGAGCATTATAAAAGCCAAAAAGTGGAAACAAATCAAATGCCCTTCAACTGAAGAATAGATGGTTCAACAAAATGTGATACTTTCTTTGAAATATCATTTGGTCATAAAAGGGAATGAAATACTGATACATGTTAAACCTTGAAGATATGCTAAGTGTTAGGAACCTGACACAAAAAGGCCACATATGATTCTGTGGCTATGAAATGTTCAGAATAAGTAAATCTATAGAAACAGAAAACAATTTGTGGTTTCTTAGAGCTAGGGAAGAGGGTAGAATGGGTAACGTCTGGTGAAGGTTACAGGGTTTATTTTTAGAGTGATAAAAATGCTCCAAAATTAGATAGTGGTGATGTTTGCATATCTCTGTGAGTGTAACAGCAGCCATTGAACTTTAGGGGTGGTTTATGGTATGTGAAGTATGTCTCAGTTAATATACATGTATTAATCACATACAGCTTGGGATCTTTCATGAGATGAGTCGAGTTGTTGGCTAGGGCTGCAGTCATCCATGACGGGGCCATCTCTAGTCCCCAGGTCTGCATCAGCAGGTAGCAGACAGCAAATGATCAGCAGCCTTGCAAAGTGAGGCTTGGATATGGTCACAGTGAAGTAGGAGGACAAAGGCAGGAGGGTAGGCAAAGGAGTAGGCAGGGGGGTAGCAGGACGATCGGCTAGGGCAGGGGTCCTCAAACTTTTTAAAAAAGGGCCAGTTCACTGTCCCTCAGACCATTGGAGGGCTGGATTGGAGGCCCCTGGACGAGTCGGCTGCTAAGCAGGACAGGCAGTGGCGGCAAAAACACCCAGTGGGCCAGATAAATGTCCTAGGCAGGCTGCATGTGGCCTGCGGGCCGTCCTTTGAGGATGCCTGAGCTAGGGAGTTCTTCCCAGATAGTGCATCTAGGGCTTCCAAATGCAAGGATACTTGCAAAGCAGGGCGTCTTTGTCATATCTCCTAGTAGGATTTGCTAATGCCAGAGAACTTATTACTGTGTTTTGAACCTCCGTTTCCTAATGATTTTGTTTGTTCTACCATTGCATTTTAGGTATGTGAGAGGGTAGATGACTTGTTCTTTAGTTTACAAGTAGCTGGGTGAATAAAAACCACACCAAGACTTGAAGGAGAGGCCTATACATCACTCAGAGATTGACTCAAGCTAAAACTAACTACTGGGGAACTTGTGATGGTCTCCCTTGCATTAAGGGTGAGTGTGCTAAATATGGGAGATATTTTGGTGGCAAAAGGGATACACTATTTCAGAAACTGCATTTATCCTCTGATTTCTACTCTCTATTTATTTTTCCATACTAATAGACTTAGTTTCCCATAATAAAGACTACATCTTCCAGCTTCCCTCGAAGCTAAGCGTAGCCAGGTAACCACGCTCTGGCAAGTGGGGTCTACATCAAGGCATTATTCATCAATTTACAGTACTTATTGTTAAGAGACAGCTGTTTCAAGCCTTTTGGGCTTCCTTTCTCTCTTTACCTTCTTTCTGCTTCCTGGGATGTGGATGTAATGGTTAGAGATGCAGCTGCTATCTTGGATTATGGGTTAACCAGACATATGGAGACCACATATGATGAAATGGCAAGAGAGAGGTAATGTGGGTCCTTGACGCCATGGCAGACTTACCTCTAGACTTCTTTGAGGCACAGAAATGGACTCAAGCCATAGTTATTTTGGGTTATTTGTAATGAGCAGTGGAACCTCAGTCTAAGTAATATCAAGACAATTAATAGACGTAGGCGTTAGACTGTGGTAAGCATATCAACTTCTACAATATATTAAAGCTGGAGTGGAGAATATGGCTTGGGAATGCAACCAAAGTGCTGGGTTTCTATTAGCTCCCCCCAAGTTTAGGGCCTAATTTGGTGTGTTGGGAGTGCAGAGCAGACATCCAGTCAGCCAAAGGGTCCTTAAATCTTAGTGCACATGTGTATCACCTGAAGATCTTGCTGGGTCACACATTCCAATTCAGGAGGTCTGGAGCAGGGCCTGAGATTCTGATTTTCTAACAAGTTCCCAAGTGCTGATGCAGCTGGTCCAAGGATCTCACTTTGAATAAGAATGATCTATTTCACACCTCCTTGGAGTGATTTGGAGCCAAGATCCTGTTCTGGGTCCAGGCCCAGGTGCTTGTTGCATGGAAACTCAGGCAGAGGGATTAGTAAGGTGGAAAGAAGACAACCCTGGAGTATTTGTTCTTTAATCTGACTGCAGATTGAATGCATACGGAGCTTCAAAACATACTGATGTCTCCATCCCACCCCTGGAGGCCTAGCTCTGGTGTGGCCTGCGAATTGGAAAGTTCCAAAGCTTCCCCAGTAACCCTAACAAACGGCTAGAGATAGGACCCACATCTCTAGAGGGGCCAGTGTTTATGGCCGAGGCAAGGACTTGAAAAAGTTTGCCTCCTACACTCAGGGCCGGGACTATGGTAGGGTGAGTGAGGCACCTGCCTTGGGTGTTAACATGTAGGGGAAGGTGGCACCCAACCTAATCAAAATAAATAATATTTTAGCACAATATTTTTTAAAATCAAAACTAACACAAAGTATACACAGTGAATAAAATGTAAACATTTTAATGAATCTGAGATCTGTAACAGTGCCACATTGGCTCTTTCTGTAAAAGGAAAATCAGTAATACTGATTCTGTAGCTTACACTCATTAAACAACCTAGTCAGGGAGCAGGGTGGTAATGACTCCTAAATTCTTTACCAATACTAACTCAGTCCTCACATCGATCTTATGAGGTAGGTGCTTTTGTGATTTCCCAAAATTCCATAGCAAGTAAAATGAGTGGGGAAGTACATTCGGTCGGTCTGGCTTCAAAGTTTAGGCTCACAGCCACTAGGTCAAAAATGTGCCTCTTATTCTAATTTCTGTCACTTTGTGGGCCGGTCACGGTTTCAATATAGCTCAGCAGAGCGATGCAATGAATCTACACAGCAACATTTAAACCAACTAATCAAAGTCATAACGTTAACGACAGGATGACCGGACTTGGATGATGCAAACCCTGTCTTTATTACATTTCAGGAAACAAATTAGGGTCATCAAACTAAGTTAGAATGGTAGATTTCTGAGTCTTTCTCCCCCACTTTCCTATTGTGGTGAGTCACTCCCCCGGCGCGGGCGGGGCCGTGGCCATCACCGGATGGTGTACTTGTCCCACTTCTTCTCCGGGTCGTAGGGCTCCCAGCGGCTGGCGGGGAAGATGTGCTTGTTCTTCTCGTACCAGCTCCTCAGCACCACCTTGCCGGCGTGCGACTCGTCCTTCTCCATGGTGGCGTCGCTGAGCAGCCGCACGTCGTCGTGCACGTCGAAGCTGAAGAGCGGCCCGCTCTTGCCCCGGGCCTTGGCTACGATGAAGTCGTAGAAGGTGTGGTAGTGCGGCAGGATGAGGTCCTCCTTGATGTACATGAGGTGCTCCACGCCGGCCGAGCGCAGCTCGCGGAAGTCCTTGCGCAGCTCCTGCAGCGCCCTCTTGAGGAACTGCTGCACGGTGCTGCCCTTGCTCATGCGCACCGTGCGCCGGTGGCCCGAGCCGTCCCAGTAGCTGAAGGTGATCTCCATCTCCTCGCCCTTCACCCGCTCGCGCTTGGCCTCCCACTCCTTGCGCAGCTCCTCCCGCAGCCGGTTCTCCTCCTCCTCCCGGTCGCGGTCCGGCAGGAAGCTGGTGTCCACGTTGGGATTCTTGCGCATCTTTCTCCAGCTCTTGCCGGCCTCCGTCGCGGCGTCCTGGTCGTCGTCGTCGTCCTCGTCGTCCAGCGAGAAGGACAGACTCGAGATCTTCCGCTTCCGCTCGCGCTGGCGCTCCCTGTCCCGCAGCATCTCCTGCTGCAGCCGGCGCTCCTCCTGCTGCTCCCTCTTGGCCAGCTGCTTCTCACGCTCCCGCAGCAGGGCCTCCTGCTTGGCCTTCATGTCGTTCAGGGTCACCAGCCCCACTGTGCTCGACTTCAGCTCGGCCTCCACGGCATCGTAATGAGCTGAGAATTTCTTGTCCACCTTCGACTTGAGGATGGTCTCCTCGGCGATGCGCTGCTTCAGTACCTCCATCTGCTCCTTCTGCTTCTCCCGCTTCTTGATGAGGTGCATGGCCCTGCCGGCCTCCCGCATGGTGCCCTTGTACTGCGCCATGCTTGTTAAATGCCCACGGGGACCGGGCCTGACTGATGCAGTCTGTAGCAACGAGGAAAAAAACAGGCGTTAGAAGGGACCTAATGATAAGAGCTTTCTGAATAGTCTAGCTCAGAACCTCCTCATTGGACTTTCTGCAGTGATGGAAATGTTCTGCATCTTACTATCAACCACACGCGAGGCCCTTGAGCACTGGAAATGCAGAGGGTTGATTGACGAGCAAGATATGTTGGCTATAGACAACCACCGTGCCCCTTGTGGTGGCAAAAAGCTTCTGGTAATGGGCTGGGGTTTGTTTTTATACGGTCTTGATTGGCCCCTTCTTGGGTTTCAAACGCTACCTTGGAATCTCTTTGATGGACAGCTAATGACATAATCAGCTCTGAGTGACTTTCGAAATTCTGTTGTACCTGGACTACATGGCAGCTAGTTGCTCTGGATGGGAATAAGGTGGGGTAGCACTAATACGGGCCTGCCCTTGTTCTTCCCAGGTGGGACAATTAGTGGAGGTAGCACCAAGGCAAAGCACCCACTCCGTCCCTCAGGAGAGACTCAGAGGTCCCTTGCTATCTACCTAACATTTCCCCACTCTCTATTCTAGAGGCCCAAATCATTGAGTAGGGGTGTCACTCCTCTGGCTGCTTTCTCCTGAGTGGAGGAGTGTACCCCACAAGAAGCACAGCCATGCAAGGGCCAGAGTACCCAGAGAGCCAGGCAGAAGCGGACCTGTGCCTGGGCTCCTTGTGTGGCCTGTTGGAAAAGAGTGAAAGGACAATAGGAGAGCTAAGATTGTCACCCTCTAGGGAAGTACTGAAAGATGCTTCTGCCTGACTCTTTTCCCCTAACTTGCTCCTGTCACAGCGGTACGGTGACCCCAGTGAGGAGATAATGCTTTCTCCTCCGGGGACGGCCTTCCCACCTGGGGGCAAATGGCCTCATGCCCCTTCCTGATGGCATTCTCCCTTTTAAAGAAATCCAGTCTTCGTGAAACCCAGCTCCTGTCTTCTCAGTTCATAAATCCAGGTAGCTAACTGTTGTTAGCTGGAGAAAACAGCGTAACTGTTGCTGGCTAGTTTCATTTTACTCTTGACCTCACACCTCCAAGTGTTGACTTAAAACTACCTAGAAATTCTATCACAGCTGCCCTAGTACGTCTGCTGTCCTGCTCTTCCAGGCAGTAATTTCATGCTTCCTCTGTGTCTCCTCACACCTCTGATGTTCTCTGGACACTCTGGCCCCATCAAAGTTGGCAGGTAAATAGTTATCAGCACACCACTGGATAGCGTTCTTTTTATGATTCAAACACAGCAGATGATCTGCTATAGAACCCTACCCCCTCCCTCATTTCATGACACAAGGACGGCATTCAGTTTGCTCCATCTCTTCTCTACGGCTATTTCCCTTGGATTCTAAACTCAAATTAACTATGGGAAACTCTGAGTTAAAGGAAGTATAAAAGCTTCTTTACTGTGAGCTGTCTGTACTTTACTTCCCACTGTAACTCTCTAAGCGGTGGTAGGGCATTTCATGTTTCTGCATGAAAAGTTTTGGATTGGTAAAAGTTTCTCCCCCTACAGGGTACCTATTAACACTTGCCCAAACCAGTGCTTCCTAGGACCTAGTTAGGAGAAACTGGCTGTGAAATATATGCCAGCCTTTCAGCCTTTCCCTGTCTAATTGAGGTGATGCCTGTGAGCACAGCCTTACCCAGAAGACCTTGATCATGATGGTGCTAACAAATGGCACCTTTGTGCCAAGGGGAAAATACGGGGTGACCACCTCACCAAATTGTCCGAACTAGAAATCTGGACGTTTTCCTGGACAACTTTCCTTCAAATATAATCAGTTACAGAAAAGTCTTTCCTGGCTTTTCTTTTTCTCCCCTTAATTCAGGAGATTGGCCTTAATCCAGGAAATTGGCGCTTTTTTTTTTTTAACACCTTAAGTCTTCTCAGTATCATCCTCTCATCAACCTACTGGCGTATCTCAGCTCATCGCACTCCACAGGTGTTGGGCTTTTTACTAATTGAAGGCACACGGCAGTGGTCCATCAAGCAAGTCTGTCAGCGCCATCTTTCCCAATAGCATGTACTCAGTTCATATTTGTCACATTTTGGTAATTTAATTAAACTTTCTTAATCTGTGGACCCAGTTTCTGGTGCTCCCAAACAATGACAGCAGTAACATCAAAGATCTCTGATCACAGATCGCCATAACAGATAAAATAATGATGAAAAGGTCTGGAATATTACAAGAAACGAATGATTGTGCCAGTTATTTTGCCTAATTCAGATGTTATGGTTTTTCTTTTAACTAGATTTTTTTTCATAAAGGAGGAAAGTAGGCATATTACAGAAAAGCTTGAAAAGAAAGGTAAATAATAAAATGTTTACTCAGTACTGAACACAGAAGTAACATGATTATTGGTTTGCAAGTTCCTGGCTAATATTTTCTGTGCCCATATCACTGCATACGTTTAACAATTTTAATTGAACTTTGTATGCTATTTGATGACAAGTTTTCATTTAATTGCCCTCCTTGTTTTTACATAATTATCATAGTCATTGGTTTAAATAAATGTGATACATTCCATTGTAAAAATTTTTTACCGACAAGACAACAGAGTGTTGGGAGCAGCAGCCTGCTCTAATGACTTGGAAATGCTAATTAAGTCCACAAGCCTTAAGAAAATGTAACCTCCTCCAGGCTTAGTCACAACACCACCAATATACCAACAAACAGCAGCACTTAAAAAATCCAACAAAACGACAACACGATTTTGACAGGGGAAAAAAAAAGGGATTCACTTTCCATTGCAAGCAACAATAACAATATCCCCCAAGAACACCTTATCACATTGACTTTCAGGTTACCTTCCACCAGTCTGAATTCTGTTTTAAAATGATTATCTTGCCAGTGGCAGATACACTGTCCTCTCCAGAGTCAGCCTTGAAATGAAACAGCTGATGGTGGACCCAGATTGGATGTAGGGCGTGCCCTAATAGCACGCCCGCTGAAGGATCCCTCCAACCCACCACAGTGTTCTGAATTGGTTGTCAAAGCAAAGCCATGGGATCTCCCATCAGTCAGGTGTTAAAAAAGAACTAGTGTGAGACTGCTCCAGAATTCTTTCATCAGACCAGAAGTCCTTCAAGGGATATTTAGAGATGATATTATTGCATGATTTCTAAGAGGGACTTAAAAAACGTCTTCCAACATTTGCTTCTTGGCAGAAAGCCAGTATTTTGGCATGCAACAGGGTGGGAGGGGAAGAGCCCTCATGCCTTCAGAGGCAGGGAATTGCAAAACAGACTAGAAGAGAAAATCTTGGACAAACAACCTGTGACTTCTATATGTGTTCCTCTAGGGGAAGAATCCAGACCAAACAAGGCAGAAATGAAGCCTAAGAGACCATGTCATGGACTTCAAAATAGATTCTGCACCAAAAATGTCCCTGAGTTTTATTAGACCCAATTTTTTTCTTTAATTTTTATCCAAGTAATGCATGTTTGATGAAAACGGTTTAAGAGACTGTAATGTGGGTTTACATTCTTGGTTTAAAAAGTAATACTAAAAGGATTATTTCACAAATCAAAAGCAAAGACTTTCTAGTTCCTTGTTCTCTTCCCTGGAGCCAACCACTTTTAGTCTTTTCATGTTTCTTCTGGTATTTACCTTCTTATTTTCCAGTAATTCTTATATTGCTATTTTGTAACTAATTGGTATTAGACTTTATCTATTGAGTTTTTACTACGGTAGATAAAGATTCAGTTTTTTCCCTATGATATTTTAAAATGTCTGGCCGAGTAATGTGATAAAGAGTGTACTTTGGAGCTTGTCAATATTTAAGCAAAATAAGAAAAATGTAAGAAATGAAATTGCATGCCTTCCTTAAAGATAGTTCAACACTAGAATATGTATACATAAAGATTCATTAAAATTTATAACAGGCTTACAGATAAAACTGTAACACATTCATTAAAATTTATAACATGCTTACAGATAAAACTCTTAAAAGAGTAGCAAACTAGACTAGAAAGGAACTTTCTTCACTTGATAAAAGGTATTTTTGAGAACCTTATGACAAATGTAATATTTAATAGCATACTTTTTTCTCCTTTAAAGTTTTGTGAAAAGTAAAATTACGAGGGATTTTTGCCGGTGCCAGGATGACTACAAGCTGGCTGGTGGCAAATGGGGTCCCATGAGCACTCGTGAGAGGAAGGTGGCATGTCTTTTGCTTTGAGGTAGCAGAGCATGGTTGGCTTCTCCTGAAACAGCTTTTAAAAGTGTCACCAGGGAATGGAGGGACAGTAGAGAGAGCAGGTCCCAGAAAGGGATGCCAAGAAGCTCCTGCCTACACACAGAAAAGTCAGAGAAAAAGAATTGTATGTGTGTCTAGAATAGCAGATATCTGACACAGATCAAGAATGTCTGTCTTCCCACTGCCTGCTTTAAAGGAAAGCAGAAGGGGAAAGTGTCACTTTATGTAGAAACCTGGGGGAAGCATTAAAATTTGACACTGGTCAGTTTTTCCCCCAGAAACCCCCCCCCCAACCTTTTTTTTCCATACTGCATCTAAGAAGTCTGCTCTAAGTCAAGGCCCAAGGCCACAATTAAAAAATGCACATTGAAGCCAACTCTGGCCTTCTGACAGTCCCCTCCTCTTGTTTTTGATATTGTCCTCAAGGGGAATTATTGGTATCTAACCACCCCCATCCTTTTCTTCCTTTGCCAAACTGAAAGCAGATGGGTCAGGTCCTGGGAAGGGGACAATAGTGGATTGGTTAATTGCCTGGAAACTTTTATTTTCTCCCAACTAGAGGGTGAAGAACTCCTCTACCAGAGAAGCAGCTGTTGCGCTGAGCTGTGCGTGGGCGTCAGTGATGGCCACAGTCACACCGTTCACAGCCAACGCTAAGCACCCGTCAGAACATCATGAGTGTCAGAGTCTAGCATTTCCAGGGCCGACTGTGTTCGCAATAGGAAAGCCTGTTCAT